TATATTACAATTGGTGTTTTGGCTATTCTGGTCTAAGTCCAAAATAAAGTTGGGTTTGACACATATATAATAGAAATGAACCATTCATTAAAAAAAAAAAACAACCTAAACCAGCTTTCAAACTGGGTAATTATTTCATTTCTTTTAGATTATTTATTCCAAGGAATTTAAATATTTTGATCATGGGAATAAGAACAAAGACATATATAACAGGGTAAGAATATGCAGTAGACATAGAGGTTTGTTCTGAATGCTATAGATAGTCCCAAAAGAAAAATACAGAAATTATTGAAATTAGGATATTTTAAATATGTCCTGAATCTTTTTTCCTGGATTTTGCCTGTCTTTCTCAAAATAAACATAATATCTACTTAATATTGCTTTTTCCCCCCACTTTATCTCATCTACACCAGTCATACATATAATTTCTGTGATTATCAGTATTAATGATAGAGTCTTGATTGCATGTTGTTTGTTTTCTAAAAGAGAATTACCCAGATTGATAATACTTTTGCTTTGGAGCAGAAATCTCTTAAATAATGAGGAGGAAAAGCCCACCTCTCTAACTTAAGTAGGCTCTTGCTTCGCTTGTATATGCACTGCTTTCTCTATCTCCACCCATAGCTGAAGTCCTTCAGAAGAAATGCAGAAAGGACAGCCAGCCTGGAGCTTTCTTCCTCCCTTGCCACCTCTTTTGATTATCCCAGAGAGAAACTTGTCTCCCAGCCTAGACATAAACCCAGTATAGCTTCAAGGAAGTTGCTGGGCCTTACTGAACTTGGACCAACTGGCCCCAGCATATTGCCTTCTTAGACTCTAGAAGGATACCCTTCCTGGATCAGGAGGCCCTCCGCACGGTCACTCATACCCTGGTCACCTCCGGGTTGGACTACTGTAACGCGCTCTACCTGGGGCTACCCTTGAAGAGTATCTGGAAGCTACACCTGGTGCAGAATGTGGCGGCGCGGACAGTTCTCAATGCCCCTAGGAGGCACATATAACACTGCAGTTACGTGAGCTGCATTGGTTGCCAGTTTGTTTCC